ACAATCTTCTGATTCTTTAAATTTTTATAATTTTGATCGTTTTTTTGTAATTATTTTTACAAAACTATATACGACGCATACATAATTTAAAAGTAGAATAAATTGCATTGTCTTACCACATGAAATTTTTAAGGTACATCTGCATAAATAGTCAAAACATTCAATTTCGTTTCCACTTTGTGCAATTTTTTCTAAATCTTCCGTAAGTATTAAAGATTCTCGAACGAATGTGTCAAAATATTTTTTTATCGGGATCGTACCAAATGCTGGAGCTATCATTTTTCGATTTTGAATCCATATAGGTGCTAAATTAAATATTACAACAAAATAATAATAAAAGAGAGAGAAAGTAGGAAGCCTTAATTGATAATAATAAAAAAATATTAAAAAATAAGCTATTTAATAGCTTCGTGGCGTAGCTTTCAAAGCGCAAATAAAAATATCTTATATGAGGAGAAAAACTTATTAGGATTTATTAGAAATTAAAGTAAAATACAAAATAAAAGTAAGTGCAGTCATAATGTCGTTTATGTTGCATTCTCTATTTTACATTGTAAATAAATAGATAATTATAAAAGAATAATCTTTATTGTTAACATTTCTTAAATCTATTAGTTACAAATGAGTTATACAATTAAAGAAGTATTCTATTTGTCTAAATATATCTTACCAGGAGCTGTTACTAATCCCATGCCAAATATTGGTTCTAGACATTTATATATTAAACTTTTATTCAAACAATGGCGGTTTTGTAAGACAATCTGCAACATCACACATTTATTAATATTTACGCATGTTTGTTTCAACCACGTAATTAACATATACATGGCGAGAAAATTGAACAATTTTAAATTTTTACGGGTTAGAAGAGTTACATAATCCCACAAAATCGTAAATAATTGTAGAGTTTACGTGGAACTATTCATTTATATCATGTGTGTGTGTATGTGTGTGTGTGTGTGTGTTTGTGTGTTATGTGTATAGGATGTTAAAAAAAAATTGGGCCCCGAATTTACTCGAGAGAATAACGTTTTTGAAAGAAATGTTTCAGACAAAAGTTGTAAGATATAAAAAGATCTATTTACAGATCTTATCAATTTGACCTTGGGCGTTGCCAAGGTCAGGTTAAGTCAATTCGGTTTTTTTGTAAGAAGCATCCTATTTTTGAATCCAGATTCTAATAGCTGATTTTAAGAGCTTTTGAAAACGCTGTAATAAAGTTATTTTTCATTAAGTACTTTTCGAGTCATAAAGCTTGACAATTACAATAGGTCGTAGACCCTTAAATATTTTGAAAAAATAAGTATTTCTGAGAAAAATGTTTTATACAAATGTTGTAGGGCTTGAAATAATCTATTTAATGATCTTATCAATTTGATCTTGTATAGCGCTACCAAAGTCAGGTTTAGATCAAATTGATTTTTTTATTTTAGAATCTAAATATTAGCTGGTGTCAAAAACTTTTTAAAACACTGTAATAAAGAATGTTATATTTTACAGAACTGTATATGTGAGAAACACAACCTAGAAATCATTGCCTTAAAAAATCTAGTTGGATTTTGAATGCTTGTGTATGATTTTGTGTGAATTTATATACTATAATACATACATTATTGCTTATGGAAGTTCGGACATTCGCATAAATTTTATCGAATGAGCATGGAAGAAAATTAAAATTTTATTAAACAGCAATTGTATTAATTTTTACATATAAAAAAAATTATTTTAGAGATCATTTGTACACATACTAACGATTGCATAAGCTTTATAAATTAGTTTTAATTTTGTAGGTCAAAAAGTATTGTCTTTACTTTGTAGAACAATGATAGTATTATATGTATGTATAATCAATAAATTTCAAAAATTTGCTCAGAGATATGTGAGCTCATGCTATGGCTCTGTTTCAAATTTACTGCCAGCATTGAAAATGCTATTACATTACGTGCACTATAGATTTTTAGTATTGACAGTAAATTTTGGATCACAGCGGTGTTGTTAGCTTATCCCCGTATAGGTGGGGGGGGGGGGGAAGACTAGCAAAACCTTCATAAATTATTTTTACTTCTATATACCTGTTTGGACTAAATTCAGTAACTTTTCCATGGCCAAATTCTGTTCATAGCGTCATATCATTTCAACATTCATTCCAGTCGACAGCTATTTCTTTCGAAACACGCTTATTATCGGTACCGACGTAGGCAGAATTCGTGACAGTGTTTCTACAGATCAGTTATTTACTTTACGTCACACGATATATACATTCGCAACCTTTCCTTTCTTTCTCGCGAAGCGAAGGTTACCTCTCGGTACCCATGTATTATACGTCTATCGCGTAATGACGATAACCAGTCGAATAAGGCTCAGCAACACACCTCATTAAACCTCGCTCTAAGTCTCTATTTTCTCAACACCTTCCAAGTCTTTGTATATTAGGGATACTTCCATCGTCACCAGTTATTCGGACCACCTGGTTATTCGGTAACACTTCCGTTCGCAATAGTCCCAATTAATGCCAAAAGCGAAATTTTTGAAATTTGCCGATTATATTATCAATATTCTACGAAATAAAATTCATACATTTTTTGGCATATAAAATTAAAAATAATTTATAAAACTTTTGCAATTGTTAGTATGTGTACAAATAATCTAAAAATATTTAAAAAATAATACAATTGCTGTTTTATAATGTCTTAATTTTTTACATGATCATTCGATAAAATTTATGCGAATGTCCGAAGACAAACTTCCATGAGCGGTAGTGTATGTATAGTCCTTTAAAATGCGCGCCAAAATGATTTTTCGGTCTTGAAACTCTACTAAATTACTGCAGTAATATCACGAATTAAATTGAGTAGTAATTTGACAATTTGATATTTTTTTCGCATTTTAGAACAATCTTAATAATGCTAAGTGACATGTTAAAATTTGTAAATAATTAATTCTTATTGCGAAAAATATTATCTCGGCCAGGAGTCGAACCCGGATTTCTTGCATTTTATGCGAGAGTCCTAAGCCTTCAGATTACTGAGGTCTTAGTAATTCTTCGGCATATGAAGGAACAACATCAATTTAGCGACGTAAATAAACAATATTATATCTTGTAGAATTATATTATATATGTGAGAAAAAAACATAATCTATAGCATATTACTGTAATAAAGCCTTGTTTTAATTAGTACTTTTGTTATGAGACTTGAAAGTTATAATACTATCGGCATTAGCATTACGTGTATTGTATGGAGATTGTACGGATGATGTATGTGTCTCTATCTCCTCTTCTCTCCTTCTCTTTCCCTCTCCCCACATAGTTATCTTTGATTGTCAAGTGTTTATTTAAAATACTAATGCTAACTGCACGGGAGTACATATTTCTTTTAATGATGCGAAGATGGAGCGAGATCTTACTCATATATGTATATATAAAATGTGAAAAATGTAAAAAGCCCATCAGCGCCTACATCAGCTATTCGAATGCACAAAAATTCTTTATTTTTCGTGTGAATGTAACAAAACAAATAAAATATACGTTTCAACCCTTC